AACTCTGCAGAACATCTTCATGAGCACCAGTAGGGTGAGGGAAGCAATTATTTCTCTCTATTAGGCATTTGTGAAATCTGATCTAGAGTACAGTATCCAGGCTGGGGCTCCCCAGTAAAAGATCTTGACACAGTGGAGTGAGCCTAGCAGAGAGCCACCAGCATGGTTAGGAATCAGAGAGGTAGGACATATGAGGAGAGGCTGAGAGAGCTGCATTTATTTGGCCTTAAAAGGAGAAGAATTGGGGCAGGATCTTATTTTTCTTGAACTACCCGATGAGAGGATGATGCTAGATTCTTCTCAGAGGTGCGCAGTGAAAGGTCATGATACACTGGACAAAAATTGAATGAAAAGGAAAATTAGATATAGGAATTAGATGTAAAGGAAAAAAATCACCCTGAAGATTGTCAAACACTTGGACAGGGTCCCAAAGTGACTGTGGGATCTCCGTCCTTGGAGATACTCAGAATTCAGCTGGAAAAGGCCCAGAGCGACCTAAGTTGGTCTTTCTTTGAGGTGTGATTGGAGCAGAGACCTTCAGATATTCCATACATCTTTGTTATTCTACAAATTTGAGACATGAGCTAAGCCTCTCTAGTCCTGACCTTCCAGTATCCTCCAACGAGTCCTCCCCATTGGTACAGCAGAGCAGAAAGGATGTCCTCCAGCCCCTGAGGAACAGTCCTAGAGCAAGTGAGCGTTCAGTAGCAACAAAGACACGTGATGTATGTCAAGAGAGGACACAACCTTCTCTGCTGAGGGCTTCAGAGTAGGAACAGCCTGTTCAGCAGCAAGGCTACTTGCAGGTAGCTGCTGATCACATTAACTCAACAGTGAACACAGTCTCAGACTTTGACTCCCTGGGACTGTCTTCCTTGTTAACAGCTTCAGATGGTGATAGTAGTGGAGGTAAGAAAATATGTGTTAAAGTAATATTTGACCCAAGACTCATTTCAACATCTCTTTTACTTGGGGTTGTTAATAACTTTTGTCTTTTGTTTTTGGCATATTTATGCTCTTTGGATTTTCTCCATGATGGGCTTGCAGTGACAAAACAACCACAGCCTCAGGATGCTTTGAGGAATGAATTTTGCCAGTCTTTGGGTAGTGCATGCGATAGGTTAAATAGTCCGAGTCTGCCAAAGGTAGGCAGAAGCCAAACAATCAATGTTGTGTCACTGCAGTGTCCAAGCAGGGCAATAGAAAATACACAGAGAAAATGAAATGACAGACAGAAAGGCAGTCAGTCCATTTGCTGAATACCACAAGGAATTTGTACAGGCAGAGGCAGAAATATGTGGAGGTTGGTAAAGTATCTGCAGCATGACTCAACAATAGCAAAGGATAACCAGAGCAGAAGAGGGCAAGAACCGTAATTTATATTACAGCAATGTTGTGCTATTCAGCTCAGGGTCATACCTTTTTGCTTGGTTTGCTATATTTTATATATATATATAAATTATCTCAGAAGAACTTCTGATGCCTTGCAAAAGAAAGAATGGTTGAAGAAGGAGGGGGTGCTGGAGACAGGACAGAGGATGCTAAAACAGTATGCCAACTGTGTGCATGTTGGGTTTGCTGATATTCCCAGAAGGCTGCTGAGATATTAGCTAGAAGCAGAGAATAAAATGAATATCAAAAGTTCATGGATCCCCCAAGTGTACCATCAACCAGCAGGGTGAAGTAGAGCAGTGAGTGACCTGCTGTTGGTGCAGAGCATCCTTTCCAGTGGTGAAGCTCAGCACAAAGCAAGACGTTGGTTACAGCTTCTTCGGGTCCAATCCCAAGCTGGGGAAGCGTGCCTGCTTGACCAGGACTCAGGGATAAGCAGATTTGTACAGTGGGTGTATTTCCTCGAGAAGAGCAAATCTAGCCAACAGGACAAATCCAACCTTGGGCTCCAAATGGATTAATTCCAGGAAGTGCCTCAGAGAAAAAGAGGGAGGAAGCCTAGTAGGATATTTCCCTTCACAAGTGGTGGTAGGTCCATCTAATAGTCAAAGCTCCACATCTGCCAACCTGACGGAAAAGGTAGAGCGAATCAGTAATAGCCCAAATCTGCTTAATACAGGCCATCCTCAGGGCAAGGTTTCTGCTTTAAGGAGAGATGGGAATAAGCTTTGGACTCCAAAGGCATTGCCAAAGCCAGCTGTGATTTATTTTATAAGATAGATAGAAAATGAAGGCAGCAGCAGGTAGGTTTTGTCAATGGTTAAGGAAAAATGAGGAAACAACCACAATACAAATGAATCCAGGAGTACTGAATAATGAGTGCCTCTTCATTTTGGAAGAACAATCTATCACCATGCATAATTGCTCAGAGCTGTCCACAAATCTATTTGACATGTCCCTGTTCCATGTGAGCATAGAGATCTTACATTTTCAGGCACCAATTATTAGGAGAGATGTAACAAGGAATTTTCAGTGCAAATTGAAGTTGTGGCATTGGAGCAAAAAGATATGATGGTTTCTAATTCTCTAGAGGAAAGAGGTCACCTAAATATCTTTAAAGAAATCCATTCTGCAGAGTGTTGCTACTACGATTTTCATTTACAACAATTGTTAATTAGACTAAACTTGGATAGGCACTTCCTATTTATTTTGTCCTTCTTTTCCTTGTTCAGTCAAGAGTGTGAGTGAACTGTTGCTTTTCTACGTTTTATTTTCAAACATTTCACAGTCTTCTCCTGTAGCCTTATGGGCAGTCATCCCTCCACAGACTGCAACTTGAAAAACGCATGTCTCCTCCAACAGTTCAGTTCTCCATTGCTTTTAGTGGTTGGACACACCAGAACCCTAATAAAGGTACTTTTTGTGTCAGCATTTGTGACTTACTGGCTGGTCATTTTAATGAAAACAGATGCCTGTAGAAGACAGAATTAGAAGTTACTGGACATAAAATGCAATCAGAAGGGAGAGATGGAAAGCAACAGCAGGGGAGCACAGAAGAGCTACAAAGGTTGTTGCTGTGGGACAACATTGGATGGTACTCTGAAGTGGTCAGGAAATGTACCTACCCCAGAGGGGGTCCTTGAGCTTACTGTGGCCTGGGCATAAAAGAGAGTTGCTGAATAGTTCTAGTAAGGAAGGAGTGAATATATAAGTACTGAAATAAATATATAAGTACTGAAATTAATAGGTAAGTACTGAGGAAGATTGGGAGACGTGAAAAAATCCTGAAGAACTGCTTGCAAAGAGGCCTTTCTAGTCCAAGTTAATGACTGCTAACAAAGAAACTCCTTTGGCATGTTTTCTTTTGTCTTTGTTGATAAGTGTCTTTGTGAATCTCTCCTTCCTAAGGTTGGTACTAATCTTATAACTGAGTTGTCACTGCTCCAATGTGTTTTTTGGAATCACAATGGTCTAGATGCTTTCCCACTGATGCTTCCCACTGTTGTTGATGCTGATGACGTTTGTGCCAGTGATATGTCTGAATACTAAACTTTTTCTTTTTGTCCTATGTGTTTTCTGGCAGGCATATACACTGAAGTCATTTGAAATGAATGGTCTGCCCAAGGCGGTGCCTTTAAGTTTGCCTTACCAAGACTTCAGAAAAGATGTGTCAGACTACTGGGAGAAGCCTAAGGTATCCCAGCGGATAAAAGAGAGTTGATTCTCAAATGTTGTCCTAACTGCTCCTTGCAACCCCTGGAACCTTATCTGGAAATGAATGGAAAAGAAGAGGAGGAAGAAGACGAGGAAGAAGACGAGGAGGAAGAAGAAGATGAGGAGGAGGCAGAGGAGGAAGGGGATGAGATTGACATGCATAGTGGTTCCAGCAGTGACCTGAGTCAAAAAAGCACAGAGCGCAGCCAGGAGTGTGCACCATCCACACTCCTGGCCGATGACCAGAAGGGATCCAAGGGTCGAGCTTCCACGGCTGATGGGGACCTGGAACTGGAGGAAGGCTCAAAAACACTAGTGCTGTTTTCACCAGGTGATCTGAAAAAGTCCCCGGTTGACCACAGACTTGGCTCCAGAAGTTGATCTGGGGACTCTTGCCGCACTGACACCTCAGAGCGAGCGGCCGCAGCCGATGGGTAGCCAACTAGATGTATCTGAGCCAGGGACCCTGTCCTCAGTCCTTAAATCCGAACCAAAGCCTCCCGTGGCAGTGGCTACAGCTTCTTCCCCGTTTACCAAAGTTGAGCGCACATTTGTTCATATAGCTGAAAAGACCCACTTAAATGTCATGTCTTCCAGCGGCCAGCTGATGAGGCACGAGGAGTACTGTCCTCCGGGCCAGTTTGAAGAGGTGATTATTGAAGAGGAGCTGGAAGATAACCTGGTGCTGGTAGAGAATGGAAGCATCCATTCGGGGCTAGAAGGGGCAGAGACAGAGAGCTGTGCACTTTCGGCTAATCACATTGAAATCGCCTCGGAGACGGTGGGAGAGCAGCAGGCCATTCCCAACGGCATAGCAAAGCCTCCTGAGGACAAGCCAGAGTCCTTGGACAAGTAGCACTCTCTCTGGATTTGGAAGAGCCTGCCGAGGTGTCACGAAGGAGAGCCTGAGCTTGAGAAGTCAGCGTCAGTAACAGAACACCTTAAGCCAGCAGAGATCCTCCTGGACACACCACAGCAGGGTCCCAGGAGGCCTCTGGGCTCTAGGTATAGAAGCCGGATCCCCATTTTGTTCTCTGAGGAGGACACTGGCTCAGATCTCTCAACGTCACTCTCAGCCAAGGAGAGGCTTTATAAGAGGGCAAAGCAACCTGACTTGGCTCGTCTCGTGATGGAGAAGAGGCAAAACCGCCTCCTCAGGCTGGCCTCGGGGGCGTCCTCCTCAGCATCCTCCAGCGACGAGAGGCGGCGGGCCTCAGAAACCCTGTCAGCCACCGGTTCTGAGGAGGACACCCACGACTCTGATGACTCCATCCCACGAAAGGCAGGGAAGGAGAAAGCTGGCCTCCTGGGGAAAGAAGAGAAACTCATAAGCACAAAGAGCAGAATTCCTCGGCCCATCACGCCAGTGAAAACACCGCTAGAGGCCATGAAGTCTGAGAGCTCCACAGCCATGGCGATGGCGGTGCTGTGTAGCTCCCCACAGGATGCTGCTGTTGCCCACAGGTAAGCCTGAAATGCTGAACAATGCAGGATATTGGACTTGTTAAGGAATCACAGTGGGGGATTTGCTCACCTCCCACTCCTTTACTCTTCACTTGGCCTGAATGAGTGGTCCGTTCCTGTTTCTTACATTTCATTTCAGCTCACTGATGTCTAACATTCCCACCTCTGCTGTCGTCTTTGCCTGAGTCTGGCCAAAAGGCCAAGCCCCTCTTCACTTGCCCTGGCTGTGAAGTCTTCTTCCCTTCCATGAGCTCTTTTATTTGCTCTGATGCTGCTAATAGTAGATCCCTCCTTTATTGAGCTCTCAATTCTGCAGCATGTTTAACATGGCCTTGACTCCGTAGCAGCACTTGACCTGGCTATTGCATTTAGCTGCCCGGAGATTTTCACAGAAATTCCTCTTCATCCCCCCCTCTTCTCTTTCCTTGCAGGCTTCAGGCACAGAGACCAGCTGGAAATGTCCCAAACGATGGCCGAACAACACAGACACAAAGTCGGCCTCCTCCTTCACCAAGTTCCACTTCTCTTCCTCCACGGAGCAGCTCACGGAGGTCCAGTTGTGCATCCCCTCGGAGCCCTGTTCTTCCTTCAAAAAACCCCAGTGCTTCCCCCAGAAGCCAGTTGCTGCCTCGGAGGGAAAGTCCTTCTCCCTGCCGGCAGCATAAGCCAGGGACTGCCCTTCAGCGAGTTCCACCTTCCCCCCGACCTCAGCCCCAAGCTCAGGCCCCGGGGCCAACAGGAGACTCCCTGCCCTCTCCTGGTGTGGCCAAAAAACGTCAAAGAGGAAAAACCCAGACTCAGAGTCCAGCAACCAAAGGAAAGCAGGTGTCCCCGGAAAGTAAGGCAGCTGCCAGATAATGATCCTCTGCCAACCTGACAGACTGGGTAACTTCTGCATATAGTATACACTTGAGATGCTGCAGCACAGCCTTCCATGCCGGAACCACGAGTGTATAGCAGTAGCTGTACTTCAATGCTTCACTCACTCTCCCCCCACACCGTCGCGATCAGCTCCCACGGGCCTGAGAGCCTCTGAGCCACGGAGCCTTCTTCGAGGGAAACATCCAGTCCGCAGCTCACGCTTGCTACTGCACAGCACCAAGCAGCACCCAGGCAGCCTGCCTAGTGCCTAACCCTCCCCTCTCCCTAGGCATTCCCCTCTCTCTGTTAGCAATACCAGTCGCCAATACCGACCCTGGCTTCGGAAAGAGGAGCAGAGGTGATGAGAGCAAGGCCTGCTGGGGAGGAAGGCTCCTGTCCTGCAAGCAGCTCCCTCCTCTCTCTTTGCTGGAGAACACCAGCCTTGGCTGCCAGCACCTGAGTGTTGGCTCAGCTCCTGCCACCCGTGTAAGCGAAGGATTGTCACCAGCTCAGCCAAGGGTGATGGATGTGTCGTGAGCTAAGAGGAGCAGGAGAGGGGTGGAGGGGGTTTTGCTCTCCTTCTCAGAGGTGCCTCTGCAGGCAGGAGGGGGAGGCAGGCAGGTCTTGCTGGATGCTCCTACCTGCTCCAGTGTGTCCCACAGAGGAGGCAGTCTGTTTCTGCAGATGCCCATGTGGCAGGTGTTTAGGTGGAAGTAGGGCTGTATTGGCAGCTTGCTGGGAAATCAAGAGCGCTTGCTAATTGATGTGGAAGAGAGCACACTGCAGCTGCTTCTGTCTCAAATACCGAACTGTGACCTGCGGAGACCACATCTCCCAACACGGGTGGTTCCTCTCAACCTCTCAAAGTGTGGTCGGTGCCGCAGTTCTGTAGTCCACCAGACACAGCTCCATCCTGAAGATGTGAATAGTCACTGGATGCCTTCAGCTCAGGTGCCCTCTGCACCGAAATTCCTTGTGCTTTATTGTTCACGCTCTTGGTGTTTGTGAATTTTGGCACTGTGGTTGAAAGTTCCCCTACACAGCAGGGTGGGAAATAATTATCCTGTAGTATATTCAAAAGCTGCTGCTTTGCAAGGAGAGGTTTGCTGGTACACCGTGGGTATCTCGTGCATTTCTAACGGGGAGATCGGGTTTATGTCTTTCTCTTTCTCGGTGCTCAGCTCTTCCACACGTTGCGTGAGAACTAACAATGTGAATACAAAAGCAAGGGCTGTGCTCTTCAAATAATCTTATCAGAGCAGAAGCTTAGCTCTCACTTAGAATTATGCACCAACTTTTTAGCCCCCCAACTAATTAGGAAGGTTTGAAAATTTAAGCCAGGAGGATTGATACCTGTCTGAGCCTGATGAGATCTTGAAGTAGTCACAAAATTTTCCCCTCGCCGCACAGGGGGAAACACTCCAGACCCGAATACTTTGGGCTTCACTCCATTGTCATGCCTAAAAGAGGCTTTCCATGAGGCAGAACAAAAATGTGGGTGTTCTGCCCACCCATTCCTGCGGCTGCAACTAGCAGTGTCAGTAAATATTTGCAGACAAAAAAGCTCGATGGAGGAATCTGGATGGTAATAACCTTGATTCATTGAACACACATACAAACAGCCACATTCATGGCCATCAAGTCCAAGGAATCCTGAAGTTGTTCACATCTGCAGGAACTGCTCTGGAAAGCATGGAGCGTGAGAGCTGTGATGGGGTGGCTGGGAGAACAGGGCACTCCTTGAACATCTGAAGAGGGAAATGCCTAGAAATAGGTGATGGGAATTACCTCTTTACACAACAGTTCCAGTGTTGGCAACACTAGGAATTTATGTTATACAGCTCAAAATGTTTGTTGTTCTCCTTAAAAGTTGTTCGCCCTTGTAGAGTAAGAAGCATAGCTTCTAGGCTAAAAACACATCCCAGCTCTCATCTCTGAAGAGAAGCGTTGGGAACTCCACACCTAGGTTGTGGTTTGATGGACTGAGCTGCCTTTGCCACCAACAGCAGAGGTCCCTCCAAGTTCCAGCTGCTTTTTGCACTGTCCCACCTTACGCTGGGGCAGCTGTTTGGTGAAGTGGCTGGGCACATGGATCCAGTAGGACAACAAGCACTCTGGTTTGCTGGTTTAGTTTTCACCTATTCATCAGTCAGGTTTAGCCTTTGGTCACACAAACGCTTCTGCCAGAAGTGGAGGAAGGAGAGGACAGAGAGTGCATCCACTTCTTCTGGGGGCACGATGCCTTCACATGAGTTTGAAGTGTTGGTCCAAATACGTCCTAAATATGCCCCACGTGTTTTGAAACTAGAAAACAGAATAAACCCAAACTTACAGATTCTTTCTGGAAATACAAATGGTAATGACACTCCTATTGCTTTGTCAAGAGACCATTCATTTTGGAGTGCTTAGATGGTAAGACTTTGTCAGCGAAGCCATTACCAGATGCTCCATCCAGGTCTTATACATGCCAAAAAGACATTGAAAGAGCTTGGAAAGAGTGCTGTAGGACTATTTATAGGATTAGCAAACCTGCCTTATCGTGGGAGGCCAATGAAGCACAATCATTGTATTTGTTCAATCCATCTAGCACAGGAAAGCAGGAAAGACTGAGTAGCTGAGAATGGCAGGTGAAGAAACTGGGCAAGCTTTTAGTTGTGAATTGACTATCCAGCGAAATCTTTCACAGGAATGTGGTGACTTTTTATTATTAAAAAGGTTTTCTGAGAAACCTCCGTGTCTTCTAAGAGGTCTTCCTACCATGACCCAACCACGAGTAGCGGGCAGGATGCTGGTGACACCAAGGTGACAGCTCCCTGGTGTGGTGCAGTCGTTTCCCCATCATGCAAGACACATGCCGCATGTTGGAGAGCCACCAGAGAGGTCCCACAGGTTTCAGAAAGTCAGTGAAAGATTTCCAGCACAGGAGATAACAGCCTTTCCTCGTGCTGTTTGACAGGGCTGGGCTGATAGTGCAGCTGGATCCACACGGATCTGGGAGCACCAGCACGTGCTCCAGGATTTGGTGGCTTGCTGGTTTGGGTTAACCCCGCAGGGCCAGGGACTCATTCCCTACTTCCCCTCGGCAGGCAGATGTTCAGCCATCTCCAGGAAAGCAGGGTCCATCACGTGGAATAGCTTCTTGAGAAGATAAATGCCATAGGTCTGATTGTCCCCTCCTCCTCCTTATTTCCTCCCCGGTTTTATTGTTCAGCATGATGCCATATGATATGCAATATCCCTCTGGTTGCTTTGGGCCATCTGTCCTGGGTCCTCGCTGGCAGGGCAGCACGAGAAGCTGAAAAGCCCTTCAGTGGTAGCACTGCTCTGTAATAACTAAAATATCGTTGTGTTACCAGCACTGTTTTCACCACAAATCCAAAACATAGCACAGTGTGAGCCTCTATGAAGAAAATTAGCTCTATCCCAGCCAAAACCAGAACGCTTGCTCCCTGTTCCAGGTGTCAGCAGAGATGCTGAAAGCAGACAATCTAAGCTTTCTCTAGCCCTGAAGGACAAGGTGCCCTGTTACAACCCCAAAAGGCAGGAAAGGCATGGCCCTGCTGTTCCCTGCCATGGAACATGGTGCATGGGCTCTGCCGAGCCTCAAGGACACGCAGGGATGCTCAAACACCACTAGTAGCATAAGCAGAGAAGATCCAGCTGACCAGACCAGAGGAAACATGTAGAAAAAATAAATAAATGTGCTTGGAGTTGGGGGGAGGAGAAGCAGACTTCCCAACACTTTTCCACATTTGTGGGGATTTCTGGAAGGAGCCTGACACGATGCATAGGTTCCCTGTTGGTGTGTTTGCTGCAGGGTCTGTCCTGGCCAGTTGCACAGGGCTGTAGTTTTTGAAGGGACTCCTGGAACAGCCCGCTGCTGTGTTTGTGTCTGTGTGTGCATGTGTGTGGGTGGCAGGGATGGTTTGGATTTGCTCAGGAGTATGCCCAGAGTTGAGCTTTGTGGGGTCTTGTGCGTGCTGGGAGCAAAAGTGTCTTTGAGTCTAGCTGGTATCGAGAGATGCCGCAAACACTCTGCTGAGAGTTTTTGCTTTGCTGGGATCTGCAAATGTCCTGCCTGCTTTCTTGTGTGCTGGCTGAGAAGATGGGCTGCTAAAAATGAGTCAATGGGTGCTGTCTGTCCAGGAGACATTTACAGAGAAACTGGGATATGGGAGTATGGCAGATCTGAAAGACAGTTCTCAGCACTGCAACAGCATGACGACAGGTTATATGGGCAGAGGGAGCAAAAAGACTGATGGTGCCCATCAGGATAATGCCGTGGAAGAGCGTAAACACGTGCTGGAGACACTAACCTGAACTTGGTTGGCAGCACATACACTTCTGCTTGTCTTGGTGCAAAAGGTGTTTCAGTCACAGGCATCTCTGAGCCGTGCTTGGAAGTTGTGAGAGGCAGGACACTTTGCTTGCCCTTTCTAAGTAGAGAGTATTATAATATATATATATAAATATATATAAAATTATAACGATATAATATAAGTAGTGTCCATTATATATAGTGGCTAAAGGTTGAAAAGGATCCTGGTACCCTCGAAGAAGTGCCCTGATGCTACGTGACTTCCAGGGTGTGCAGGACCGTGTGGTGACGTGGGTGGCGACACAGGGTACCCCTCTGAGTGAGTGAGGCTCCACGAACCAGGGGCCAAAACACACCGCCTTGGATGGTGGGCAGCCCTTGTGCCTGCCATCAGAGTTGTAATAACCATGGATCTGGGTCTGGAGACCGCTCGGGTGGTGGCCCTTCACCGACACAAGCACGGTGTTGTGTGCTAGTGGCGTGCTTCGATCCAAAGCAAGTTGTGTTGGGGCAAGAGTATCTTTGATGTTTCTCCTTCCCAACACAGAGGTGTTTTCTCAGCATAGATCCTCTGTCAGAAGATGGCTAAACATCTCCTTACAGCCTGACCAGCTCCAGCAGTAGCTCGATGGTCCCTTAGCACACCTCTCCCTTCCCTGTATAGTTCACTGCCCCGTGGCATGATCCCACCACTACTCCTTGTGCACAGACACTGATGCTCACCCAAGGCCTTGCTCCACACATCAACAAACTGCAGTTAAATTAATCCCATGAACACGGTACAAGTCCCTTTGTGGACCTGATGAGTTTGGCTTCGAACAAGCTTCTTCTGGCTTAACTGGCCTGAGCTGTATCTGCGATAGGCTGGTTTCACAAAGCACACAGGGACCACCTGGGCATTTGCAACCACCTGTAACTCCATCCATTTGCCAGCTGCTCCAAGGTCCTTTCCTCTTGTTTTGTGTGTCTGAACCACTGAGAGCAGGGTGAGTGCCCAAGGACTCCCTGCTGGCTGGCTCCCAAAGTCCTCTGCAGAACCCTAAATATTTTTTGCTCTTCCTCAGCCTCTTGCTGATCTTTGAAGGACTGGGACCGTGCTGATGGTAACAGCAGAGGCAGCTGATGTTAAGATAGCAGGAAGGGAGCTACCACAGCAAATCCACGGGTAGGTTCCTGGTAGGGACCGAGGTGTGAGCGCGGGGTCGCTGAGGGAGGCAGGGGCTGCTGTCTACGTGGCACTTGAGTAAATGGCTGCTGGGGTGCCAGGGTAGTTCTTGGGCTGCAGTCCGCAGGTGGTGTGAAGAGCTCTGCAGAACACAGGGGCTAGGCGAGGAGTCCACATCTAAATCCAGTCCGTGTGTGAAAACCAGTGTCAGTGACACTGCTGTCGTGTGGGACCTGGGCCGCTTCTTGTCTGGACAGGAATTGGAGCTGGAAACGCAGATAATTTTGTATATCTCCTTTCAACACATTACCCTGGGACTCTACACTCAGACATCATAGCTGGCGCACCGATGTTGTTTTCCTTCACCTCTTGACACAGTCCGACAAAGTCTTTTGGCCTGGAGACAGGACTCTTGCTCCTTGGTACTGTCTGGGAATGCGACTGGGTCCCGAGGCTAAATCTCTCTACATATCTCCTTTGCATTCGTTAGGAAAGCAGCTCGAGAATGTTTACACACTGCAAACAGAATGTACAACTCCGACCAGGAACCACAATCTGGTTCAACTGCATGGCAAATTTCTTGGCCATAAAATCTGGCATGCATCACAGAGGCCCTGTCTGTGTACAGATCCACCCGGCATTTGTCATAACTTCAGATCACGTCTTAAAAAAGAAAAAAAAAAATAAACGATGATGCCATTTCTTGTTCATACCAGACACAGTTGTCATTAGATTTGTTATTAAAAGGGGGTTTCTTGATCATGCCATTAAAAGCCTGTCTACCTTTTCATCGGTGTCTTCTCCCGTTCATTGGTGTTGCCACGCGAAGCAGAAATGCTACCTGAATTTTTGGCAAAGGGCCTTTGCTGCAGTTATGCTCAGGTTTCATTCCAGTTGTATGGCAACTGGGGCTCCCATTGCTTCTCCGACCCCTCCTGCTGCAACCACGGTGTCCCAAGTTGCCATAAGATCTCCCCACAAGGTAGGTTATTTTTTCCTACATCATCACAACTCCTCGGTTGCTCACGCTCTGCAGGGAGGTGAGTGTGTTGGACCTGCCTCCCTGCAAGAGGCTGGGAATGATGAAGAGCTGGGGATTATCATCTGTGTGGGTATGGCTGATGGAGGAAGGGGCAGGCAGCAACATTTAGGATCTTAGGCAGGAGGTTAAAGACCAGCATCCCTAGAGCCACGTTCTCTGAAGTACTGTCAATGCCACAGGCAGGACAGATGGACTGGCAGACCAGCGAGGGGTACAAAGTTTTAATGAAAGGCTCAGAAGATTGGTGTGAAAATAAATTAATTAGGAACTCAGAAACTTGTGCACAGGGATGAACAGACATAAAGACATGCACTGCATCTAAACCAGAATACTACCTGTCTGCAGGCATATAATTTTTTAAAAAAATAAAATTGTGTTAGAATTTTAATGTAAAGCCTAGATGTAATTTGAAAACTAAACATCGAGCATCCAGTTTGGGATGACAGCATCCAATAAGAGCTGTCACAGAGCCTGAATCCTCAAACAAGGATTAGGCTGGAGGCAAGAAAATCATCTGCAAAGTACCACTTGGTAATTGCCTCATTCTTACAGTCTTTCCCAGACTTCTGTCTGCTGCTAGAGTATGGAGTGAGATTCTTGTTGATTAAAGAAGTAAAAGCCCAGGTCAGAACGACTGTTGCTGTATTGATGAAACTGCAAAAGAAGAGGATCCCTACTCAAACACAGGGCAGAAAAATCAAAACTGAAGTCTCAGTCACCCCAGATAGGAGCTAGGGGATGCTTAGATTTAAATAAGAAAGTTGGTAGGAAGGAAGAGGAAGGAAGATAATTGGTGGAACACTAATATCAACGCACGAAATGTGCAGGAAACTGGAGTTGTTCCCATTGCTGGAGGTCTGGTGCTGTGTGGTAAAGGATGCTCCCCTGGACACTTTTTTTAAAAAAAAAACTCCTTTTGGGGGAGCGGCCAGCTGGGAATGGTCTGGGGCAAGATGAGAAGGCTGAGCAGAGCTGTGGAGTTACTGGGATGTGATTAGCAAAAGGCCACCTGGGCAGAAAAACACCATCAGGTGTTAAACCTCGCTTCACCCACTCCGTGATCACATACAAATCACTCTCAGCAGCCACTTCACCCCATCTCCTGCTTCAGTGGAAGAAAACGTATGGCTACATGTACTTTCACACCCACACCTTTACTGTCTGCACAGGATTTCCAAAAGTAGCTTTCCAGACAGTGCTAAATTCTGCTCCAAGCTCCCCAGGCAGCATTACATGTCTTTTTGAGGTAAAACCCTGCCATTTAATTTAAGTTGCGGTATATTAGGGACATGAGAGCACAAATGTGCCTTAATTGCACTGCACAGCTTCATCTGCCACCCACATCTCCTGTGCCCATGGGCCAGGAGCCCACTTAAGCTCAAGCCTGGATCCCCCTTCCCTGTCTGAGCCTCATTACATGTGCTCCTGTCTCCAGCCCTGGCCCTTGGACCTGCCTTGTAGCCCTGTCTCCAGACCCTTCTGCTCCAGACTGGGCTCTCTGAATGGACCCAGGTTCCTGCTGGCTGTGCTGAGACCCTAGGGGACTGTGCCCTGTTGGTGAGGACATGGCCAGTGCTGGGATCCCCTTGGCTCCTGGCTCATCCCCTTCTTGTCCTGCTCTCTGAACCGGTAGGTATTTATCTTGAGCCCATGGCAATGTGTTATTTCACATAAGATTGTCCTCTGCAAATGGCAGTGGATTTCCCTTTCTTCTTGTGTCTTTCCCTACTTGAAGGAATAGATCGGGTTCATCCTTCTTTCTTAAAACCCAGCCTAGTAATTCAGGCTGAATTTCTGCCCTGCTATGGTTTCTCAACAGCACTGGTGAGATGAGAGCACAAAGACAACAGTTACACTAAATGCCTGCGGGAAGGGTCACAAAGCATCTCTGCTGGGTCTGACTGGGGAACAGGCAGGAAGCAAGCGCTGAATGTGGACTGGACCCATGGTCACACATGGCAGAAGATGTGGAAGTCCTTCAATGAGCTGCAGTCAGATGGGGACACCTCTGCCCTCTGAGGCTGAGAGGAGTCTAGGTCATTGCCTCTGGTGGAAGCACTACCTTGCTCTTGCAGTCTTGCATGTGTCATGTATTTTCAAGGCACTGAGGCATAACTTTAGGGGAGAGGCAGCACTTCAGAATCTGCAGCTTTCCCATAGGAGAAAAATACCATTTAAATACCAACCCACAACAATTGTTCAGATATCCAGTTATTATGCAGCAATTGAAAAACAAACAAACAAACAAACAAAAATCATTAATGACTGGGCTATTTAAAAATCTTCCTTCTCTACCAATAGTTGGCCTTCTAAAAAGGAGAAGAAAGACTGCTGAAAAAATAAAATAGGTAGAGAGAGATGTGAGGTAAAATGCCAACTCTTCTTTCCAGGTTCTTCCGTGAGCAGTCAGCCTGTTCTCACTGCTGCCAGGCAGGTCCAAGCCACTTCAGGCAGGTCCTGGGTCTAATCAACCAAGTGGTAGGGCATAGCCATGGCATTTGTACACATGGTGATCATTAACTGTATCTGGTGACTGGTTAAATGAACGTGTTTGTGTTAGAGAAGAACAGCAGTAAAATAATGTATGTTTTTAGCAATTGAACAATGAATAGGAGAGCCCCAGGAGTTGCAGCGCAATGAACTGTAGCCTCATTTCTGACGAGGAGCCTAGGCCTGCTTCGTAGTTTAAATATGCAAGAGCATATCGACAAGAGCTCCTGTTCCTTGCTCTTGGAAGACCAGTGGTGAAGAAAAACAATTTGCCCTTTAGTTCCTTCAGCTTAAACTGTAACTCTGGAGGGACAGTGCTGTTGGGTGCCCCGGCTCCATTCCTGCTTGCTTCCCCCACGCTCACCCCAGGATAAGCACTGAAATGCTTTGTGGCAAAGACTGGGTCAGCATGTTAGTTAAACATGGATGGCCAGGAATGCTGCTGAGACAACCAAAGATCTCCTCAGGTCACAGCGTGGTGTCCTTTGCCTTATAAACTTTGAGGGAAGGGTCCTGCAGGCTCCTCAAGAGAGAGTCAGGGTAAAGCCCCCTCTCCCACTGATCCCAGTTTAACCTGTCCTGATCACACCCCTTTTCCAAAGCCTGCTCAGTAGTGGGGCAGGGAGCTGCATCTATCTTGTCTTCAAGTGCCGGTGATCCTCCATCCAGGTCTCTGCTGGCCATGGAAGAATTTGTTTCTGGCTCATGAACCATGTTGTGTGTGTGAAGCAAGCTGTGCCAGCTGTTACTGCATCTTCACAGTTGCTGCATTTTCTAGGCATTGTTTCTACAATTCTAAAAGAAAAAAAAAAAAGTCACCTCTGGCTGAGTAAAGAGCCCCTGTTCCTGGTTAAGAATGTATGAGGAGTGGAAAATTCAAATTAAAGACCCATCTCTTCAAGAAACCTACTTCTGGTGGTGATGAAAGAAACGTGGTGCAAGGCTCGTGTGGAGGTGGCAGCAGTACCTCTGGTCCTGTCACGGGCTGTAGGTCCCTCGCTTTTGGGCTGTTGCACTGGTTCCCATCCAATTGGTCTCTATCTGGAGACCCATCTTTCATCTCTTCTGGATATCCTCTCACCTCTCCATACTCCCTGCTCCCATGAGGTCATGACTTGAGACAAGCCATGCTAAAAACACACAGCTGATGCACAGCAAGCAGGGTGCAGTGCCCACAGACACAGTGAGTCACCCCTGGTCTCCTGGGGACATATTTCATGTCCAGCTGGGCCAGCTGGTGATCGGCTCACGAGGCAGAGCTTGTTGCAGTGCCTGAGAGGCCAGCAGTGTGTGGCACCCCCAAACCATAAATCGTGGCTATTCCCACAGCCTCCTCTCCTAATGTGGATCTCCCTCTCAAAAACCACAACGGGAAGAAAGGGCTCTAAAAAGAGAATGTGCCTTGTGCTGGGTCCACTTGAAATGGATGTGCTGTGTGCACACGGGATGATTTTGTTGGCTCTACCCCAAATGGACAGTTTTACTGTGACTTTTGACAACCTTTCAGTGAGGTCTCAAAGTCCAAGGGAGTGGCTGTATGAAAAGCCATGGGAAGCTGAGCTCCAAAGACAGAGACCGCTTCTCAAGCTCATGTTGCTGCTCCTTGGTACATAGCTGCTCTGAATGAGCAAACTCCATAGAAAAGATGAAATTTGAAGATCTCTTGCTGGAAATTGGTGGCTTTGGCAGATTCCAGATTTTGATTTTGTTTGTACTATGCCTCGCAAGAATCAACCTTCCCATGCATTTTCTGCTGCACAGCTTTCTTGCTGCTACCCCCTCTCATCACTGTGCAATTCCACACCAAGAGGCCTTTGTGAACCTCACCATGGAGGAAATTCTGCTCATCAGCATCCCCCGGGAGCCTGATGGCACCTTCAGGTCCTGTGAGATGTTCTCACAGCCTCAGTTTCACCTCCTGCTCAATTCTTCTCTGCAACCAGAAAACGACTCCATCATCCAGAACTGCCAGCATGGATGGGTCTATGACCACTCACAGTTCACCTCCACCATCTCCACCCAGGTAACCCCTGGTCTGTGATCTAGATGAAAATGAAATCAGCTTTGAGAACCAGATGGAGAGATGTTAGGTGCACAGAGTCAAAGGGGAATCTTTGCATTTTAACCAGTGGAAGTTACTTGTTTAGTGAAGATGACCTGGGATGGGGAAGCTCTCTGAAGTGCAGTTAGTCATCAACATTTCTCATAACGAGCATCTTGATTTCTCTGGGTGATTGAGAGAGTGGTGCTGTGGGGAG